GGAAGCACGTGAGGTGCAGAGCGAAAGAGAAGGAAGAGGCGGCACCTCTGACGATGCTGCGTGGTCGGAGTCACCTCTGCGTTCCCTCCACCGCTCCCTGTGGAGGGTCTTCAGTGACCGCGGGGGGAACAACGCCGGTCGAAATCACCTCTGTGATCCCTTCGCCGCTTCCGGTGGAGGGCCGTCAGTGACGGCAGGGGGGGGGGGCAACAGTCCAAAGTCGGAGGCGCCTCTGTGGCCCCTCCGCCGATCCCAGTGGGGGGTCTTCAGCGACCGCGGGGGGGGGAACCACGCGCCAGACCACTGGCGGGGGACAGTGCTGACACTTCGTGGTGCCCTGGATCCCCACTCCGCAGGCCTCTGCCTTCCTGGTTGATGTACGTGCGCCCTGGGCAACCAGAGAAACCACGCGCCGAAAGGGCAGCCAGCGAGCCGAAGCGGCGGCCTCGGCGACGCGCAAGGGGGCGAACGGGCGGCGCGTCGCCCAGCCCTGGGGGGCGGGGGGCCAGGAGAAGCACGGGGCGCAGGCGCCCGTCTGGGGGAGTTTCCTCCGACGTACTCAGGATGTGCGTATCTTCCGCTCTGGGGGGGCCGGTCGCTCGTCTCCCACGCAGCGTGTTTCCTCCGATGGAGAGGCAAGGCACGTCCGACAACAGCCCGTCAGAACCCAGAGGGGGGGAGCCTGAGACACCCAATCGCGCTGCAGAGTACGGCGTGCAACTCGTAGTCAACAGAGAAGGTGGATCACAGAGCAGAAAACCGAACGGTCCACGGTATAGCCACGCGCGCAGCACGCAGACAGAGGAGAAATGAACTGAGGCCGACGGTATAGCCACACACGCAGCACGTAGACAACAGCCAAGAAAAGGACGTAGAAGTTCTGAAAGAAGCAGGTGTCGAGACACTACCACGGTAGCAACTCGCAGGGGTGCCGCGAGGGGGTAGCGAAGCTACTGTGGGGGGACGGCCCACCACTGTCTGCAGTGCTTCCTGGGGGCCTGTTTGCTCGGGTGGCCCTTTACCGCATGGTGACCACTGCTCACGCCGCGGCTCGGACCCGGGCGCCTCTGCCAGGCCCGAGCCCAGTCGACGTCGAGGCCCAGCGCGTCGCTGAGGACCCGTGCGTCGCCCTCGTGGCTGCGGAAGGATTCCAGAAAGAGGTGGCAGGTTTGCGGGTCGTGCCAATACGGGTCGAGCGCGCCCTTGCCGCCAGGCACCGACTGCCGCTCGGCGAAAGCGTGCCAGGTGCCAGTGAACATTGGTCCCAGTGTGACTTGGAGTCGTCGCATCGCCTCGCCGGGTGCCTCCCCGGGGAGGTCCCACTGGGCGTTGTTGATTCCTGTTTTGTGCAGCTGTTGTCCCGTGTCGGGGTCCTCAGGCTCTGGCCATTGACGCGGGTCGGGCCCCCGGTGCCGCCTTGTATCCCGGCCGCCAGTCTCCGACGTAACGGCCTCGTTGTCCTGGCTGGGGGGATCGCAATCTGCTCGCGACAGCTCCGGCTGCCCGCCTGGCAGAATTAGGCGGAGAAGTGCTGGCCGCATGGTTGGCCGCCAGGCTGGGGTCGGAACGCGTCCGGCGGCCAACGCAGACTCGGCCTTGTGGCTCGCGGGGAGGGGTCCCTTTCGCTGGCGCTCGCCTTCGGGCCTGCGCCCGCTGTCGCTCCCAGGTGCGTCCCCTCTGGACAGCGCCTGATCCTCTCCGTTCTCTGGGGTGCCACTGGTTGTGCCCGGGGCGTGCAGGCGCTGCGGCGCGACTTCCACAGCCGGGGCGCGGGCTGCGTCGCCAGCGGTGCTCTGGGCGCCTGGCGAGGGCGCCTCGGGTTCGCCGTCCGTAAGGAGCGCGCCAACTGGGGAAGGGGGGCGAATGGGGGCAAGGCGGTTTCTCCAGACTAGCCAGCGGATGGCTTCGCTGTCCTGCATCTGGATGGTTGTTCCGTGGCATCCCTGCTGGGTGTGTGGCGGCCCCAGAGGACTACTGGCGCTCTGATTGCCCTGAGGGGGGTATTCCGCGGCTTCCGCAGCATCCGCCGTCTCCGCCGTCTCCGCCGTGACATCCCACTCCTTTCCTCTGTCCTGCTGGCGCAGAGGACTGATGACCATTGCCCTTCTGTCAATGTCCGTTTCGTTCCTCGGCATTACATTCGGTATGGGGCCACTGCCCCGAGTCGCAGCAACCGAGGAACCGACGACAGGTTGGGGGGCGTGTCCATGCACAGTTGGACGAACGTCCTGAGCAGAAGGAGGAGGAGGAGGAGAGGAGGAGGAGACGCAGCCGATAGCCGCACAATCTGGTGAATTAAAAGAGGATGAGGGAGGATTGGCCCTGTGTGTCTGCGCCGCTGGGGGGGGGTCTGTTCGCCTGTGTACTTGGCGGGGGGACTGTGTTGCCTCCATCGATGGGTTCGGCTCGCCTTTCGTCGGGCAAACCCTCGGACTGATTGTCCTGAGGGGTACCCCGCGGCTTCCGTAGCCTCCGCCGCGACTTCCCGCTCCTTTCCTATGGCCTGCTGGTGCAGCTGGAGGGGGGGGGGTCGTTCGTATGAGCAGTGCCCTGGTCACTGCAGGCTACCTCCTCCCGATTCCCCGCTGGGACGTCGTCGTCCGACCACGATGCGGGGGGTGGTATCGTGACCTCTGCCTCTACCGCCTCTCGATTCCCCTCTGGGACGTCTTCGTCTGTCGACGCTACGGGGGGCGGCGCGGTGCCGCTGCTGCTGCTGCTATGCTCCGATGTGTCGTTGTGCGTGGCAGTATCCCCGGGATGGTCGTCTGTCGTTTGGTGGTCGCCGTCGTGGTCGTGGTCGTGGTCGTGGTCGTGGTCGTCGTCGTCGTCGAGGCGACGGCGTCCGTGGAGGTCGTGGTCGTCGTCATCGTGGACGTGGTCGTGGTCGTCGCCGCGGTCGTGGTCGTGGTCGTCTTCGTAGCCGTCGTGGTCGTGGTCGTCGTCGACGTGGTCGTGAACGTGGACCTCAGTAATGGCCAGACGAAGGTTGGTTGGCACTCTCGGCACTCAACCTGCGCTGCCTGACCGTGGCGTCGGTGCTGTGTGGACCGATGGGCCTCCGTCCGAGCTCGCCAGGCTTCCTGTTGGGGTCCGGGTTGTACCCGAACGGGCCCGATTCGCAGTAGAGGCAATGCGCCACGATCTGCAGCCAGCCTGGTCCTGGCACCGTGGGGAGGGCAGCCAGACCGTTCGGGGTGTCCTCGAACTTCCCCTCGAGAGACGGGGGGATCTCGCCAGGAAACTTGCCAACAGCCTCGGGCGTGTTGTAGCTCCTCGTGGCGAGCGTGCTCACCCGCCCATCCTTGCTCTCTGTCTCGCGGCGTCTCTTGAAGGCCGCGGCGTCGACATCCTTCGTGAGGTCGGCGGGGTCCCAGAGGCACACTGGCGCCTGCACGCCCAGCTCGCTCCCGAAGGAGCGCAGCGGGGGGTCCGTGTACGGCGCCCAGTCGCCCCACGCGCTGCTCGAGAGGCCCTCCTGGTAGAACATCCCGATGATCGCCATCATCGCCAGCCTTCCGTTCGCGGTCTCGGCGTTCAGCTTGGGGGACTTGGTCTCGCCGGCAAGCGAGGTACTGCCGTCGGGCACGCCCAGGACGCCGCCGTTCTCGTAGTCGCAGAGGGCCCATCGAGGGGTCGTACAAGAGCCCGCCAGCGCCTGCACGCACAGCTCGCTCTCGAAGGCGCTCAGCGGGGAGTCCGAGTACAGCGTCCAGTCGCCCCAGGCGCTGCCCGAGAGGCCGTCCTGGAATAACATCCCGCAGATCGCCATCATGGTCGGGCGGCCGTTCGCGATCTCGGCATCCAGCTTCGAATTCACCCCGAGAGACGAGGAGATCTCGCCGGGAAACTTGCCAACGACCTCGTGGCCCATCGTGGCGAGCATGCTCACGCGCCCATGCATGGTCTCAATCTCGCAGCGCCTCTCGAAGGTCGCGGCGTCGCCGGCGGGGAGGCCAGCCGCCGCCACGGCCGCGGCAGCCGCGGCGGCGGCGGCGGCCGCGGCAGCGGCGCCGCCGGCCACGCCGAGGCAGCCAGGGGCCGCGGCATCACGCGGAGCCAGGGGGCGGCGCCGCGCGGCGACTGGCGGCCGCGCGCCGCTGGCGGCGGCGGCGGGCCGCAGGCGAATCCGCCGGGGGCATGGCCCGGCGGGCGGGGGGGAGGGACGACCTCCGTCCCCACCCCCGCGGGCGGGGAGGCCGGAGGCCAGGGGCGGGCCTCCGGCCGCGGCCGCGCAGGCCGGCTAGGCCACCTCGAGCCAGAGCGGCTTGGGCCAAGGCTTGAGCCAGAGGCTACGGACGACTGGTGGGGATATTTTTTTTGGGATTCGCGGCCCGCAAGGAGAAGTCCAGAGGGCGGAGTGACCGAGGCTTGGGCACAGCGACAGATAATTGGCGCGACATCGCGCAGAGTGCACCTGCAGATAATTAGCGACGCTGGACACGTGCCAGCAAAAGAGGCAAACGCGAAGGCACCAGCTGAAGCCCAGGCGCCACCACGCGGAGACCAAAAGTCGCTGAGCGTGTGCCAGCAGAAGTGGGGCGGGCGCAAACAGGTCGGACCCGCAGGTGGAGTACCGACTGCCAGGCGGAACGTGCCAAAAACTGGTGGGGATACGCGAACCGTCAATAATACATAAGCAGGCGGGAGACAGAAGGGAGCGGCCGCGGAGGAGGAGGAGAAGGAGGAGGAGGAAGAGGCAAATACGGAGGAGGAGGAGGAGGAGGAGGAGGAGGAGGAGGAGGCAAAAGCACACGCTAGTTAGAAACACACTTGGCTGGACTCACATGTAGAACAGTGTGAGGCCACGCGCTGGATGCGAATGCGAAGGCCCGACCTACACGGCCATTGAAGGGCCGAGTGCTGGAATCAAACCTGGCCACACGTGCATGTAGCTCTCGCCCAAGCTGGCCGCATCACGTGCATCCAGCTTCCTGGCAGTACGCGGGCAGCCTGGCCCCAATCCCTCAACCACCAGAGTAGCAGAGACGGGTGGCGGCCTTGGGCGCCGCCGTCGGCGCGGCCGTCGGCGCGGCGGTTGGCGCAGCCGTCGGCCCCGCCGTCGGCGCGGCGGTCGGCGCCGCGGTGGGGTCCGCGGTGGGCGCCGCCGTCGGCGCCGCCGTGGGTGTGGCGGTCGGCTGGGGCGTCGGCTTGGGCCTCGGCTCTGGCGCTGGCTGCGGCGTCGCCTCGGGCGTCGGCTTCGCTGCCGGCTTCTTCGCCGCCGCGGGCGCCTCGAAGTCCACCCCCCCCCCCCCGGCGGCCGCGGCCGGCCGGCCGGCGCGAATAGGTCCAGCCCGGATCAGCCAGGCGCGATCGAGCCCGCGCCCCAGGAACTGGCTGGCCTGCCCGAGGCGCTTCCCTCGTCCACTGCGGCAGAGGGCGAGGTGGATCTGCGGCCCCCCTGGAAACCCGCGCGAAGCCTCGCTCCGCGGCGCGCACGGGCAGAACAGAGAACGGCACCGCTGGGGGGGGGGCGGTGCAGAAGCAGCAGTTGCCTGTCAGAAATGGCCGCGGCTGCTGCTGTGCAGACGACGTTCGTTCGGTATTGAACCAGCAGCGTCGGACGCAGAAGCACGGCAAAATCTGTCAAACATTGGAGCCCCCCCAAAATGAGGCCAGAGGAAATGGGGCATGCATCGGACGCTGGTACGGAGAATCATGGTAGCACTACTAATGAAATAAGATTTCCAATCGTAATCATGCGAATGTTAATGATAGTACTAGTACTGACAATAAGAATATTACTGTGATTAGTACTTCAAATGATACGAACGAGCATAATACTGATGATACTACTACTGACAGTGATCATGCTGTCACTAATACATAGAATCAAACTATTGCCACTAAAACTAATGTTACATACTAATACTACTAATAGTAATGCTTATTCGTAATGCTCATTGTACGATTACCAACAACAGTAATACTACTAGACATATTTGCAATGATACTAGTACGAATGCTAAACATACTACGACTACTAGCACTATAAACATAACAATAAGTACGCTAATGCTAACAGGGATACTACAGCCAACATTACCAATATCACTAATAACACTAATAACACTACTCGTACGAATACTACTAGAACTGCTCATTATGCAACTAATGCAAATAATAATCAGAAGAAGACCGCATCCCGGATCTTGCCGCCCCGCTTCAGGAAGGCACGGGCCAAAAAGAGCAGGAGCACTGCTGGCCAATCCCAGGACCTCACCTGCCATCCGCAGCTCTGAGGCTTTACAAATGCTGCCCAAGAGCTCCTGACCCCTTCCCCGGGGCTACTTTTTCGCCCCAGATCCACTTTTGGTGGTGCTGGGGCCCGCTACGTATTGGACCCCGATCTCGCGAGCCGAGATCGGAGGAAAAATCGCCAGCTGAAAAACTCGGACCGCCAGAGACTCCACACGCATCGGATCGAACCGTGTAGGCGGCCCTGGCTGGACAATGCCAGGACCTCCGGCTCCAGCGCCGCGAGCTGTTCACGTTCTCGTGCCTTCGATCTCTAGAGGCCTCCCAGATGGGGGTCCGAGTAGATGGGGTCAGAGGATCCCGCCGCATCGCCGATACCTCGGCGATGCATCGGCGATGCATCGTCGACGTGGGCGATGCACCGGCGACGCCGACGTGAAGCACATCGGGCTCCACATCGAGCCGCGTCGGCGGTGCGTCGGCGATGGCGATGCGGCGCGGCCCTCCGACCCCGTCTGCTCCGAGGCCCGAGAGTCTCTTAAGACACCCGCCCCCCGCGAGCGACCGGCTCTTCGCCGCGGGCTGGCTCCCGCGCGTTCGGGCCAGGGGCCGCCGTGGGGGACACGGGCGTCGCGAGGGGGAGGCGGCGGGGCCGGGGCCCCGCGGAACTCCCCGGGAGCAGCTCCTCACCCTGAGGCGTTCCTGGAGACGGTCCCCTCCTCCTCCTCCTCCTCCTCCTCCTCCTCCTCCTCCTCCTCCTCCTCCTCCTCCTCCTCCTCCTCCTACTCGTCACCCTGCTCCTCCTCCTCCTCCTCCTCCTCCTCCTCCTCCTCCTCCTCCTGCTGTGGGGGACCCGGGGGGCCGAACGCGGCGAAGCACTTCCCCGGCCTCTCCCCACCAGGCGGCGACGGGATCTACACGCACGCGCACCGCGCCCGGGCCCGGGAGGGGCCCGGCCCGGGGCGGTGGGTGTGCACAGACCTCGCCGCCCGACCTCCAATGCCCGCGTCCTGCATGCCGAGAAGCCGGGCGAGGGCCCGAGCGCGGGACGCCCCGAGGCCGGGGTCTGCCGATCGCCCGCGTCTCCCTTCGCTGCCCGAGGCCTCCGGAGGCGCCCCCTCGGCCCGAGGTCCCTGGAGGCCTCCGAGCCTGCCGAGGCCCGCGGTTCGGCCTCCAGCTGCCGGGAGAGAGGCCAATCAGCAGTTGCCTAAGCGGACCTCGGTGCTCTCCGTTCCGCTCCTCCTCCTCCTCCTCCTGCTGCTGCTGCTGCTGTTGCTGCTCCTGCTGCTGCTCCTCCTCCTCCTGCTTCTCTTGCTCCTTCTCCTCCTCCTCCCTCAATCCTTTGCATTCGGCAAACCTGGGCATCGTGGGTGTTGCGTTTTTTTTCTCCTTCTCCTGCTCCTCCTGCTCCGACTCCCTCTCCTCCTCCTGACCCTATGAGAGAGCTCGATGCTCCGACCTCTCGGGTCCTCGACTCCTCCCTCCTGCTCGCGCCCTCGCAGATCCGCGGCCAGGGGGATGGGGGGGGCACTGCCGGGTGGGAAAGTGGTCCTGGTGGAAGCGCCTGGGCCCCTGGGCTTTGCCTGGGATCAGCCGTTCTTGCCAGAATCGCTTTCTCATGGCTCTGGGGCATGGGGAAAGCCCCGGAATCCCCAGAATGGCGAAAACCCTGCATGGACCCCGCTCCTTCAAGACTCCTGTCCTTCCCGACATCCGACTGTGACTTTTCAGTGTGCCCTGTGCCTCCCTGGCACGCGGAGCGCGCCAGGGGCGGCGCCGGAGGCACCGCCATGCACCGCCAGGGGGGCCCCGGCGCCGATCCGAGAAATCCGCACGGACCGTCGAAAGTTTACCCGTATGTCTGCGCCACGTTCTGCTCCTCGACGCGCTGCCCCCGAGGTTCGATCGGCGCCGCCGAGGGCGGCGCCGGCGCCGGCGGCGGAGAGGGCTGCGCGGCGCCGCGCGCCTCGCTTTCTGTCGGGCGTGTCCCCCTACAGGGGGATTTTCGGCGAAAAATAAGAAACACCCATAGAAATACCCCCCAAAGGCAAAAAAAAATTCAAAAAATAGTCCCCAGCCTATTTTTGGACTATTCTTGAATGATCTTTAGGTATCTTCTATGTTTGACCGACCATCCCCCTGCAGGGAAGACAGGCCCGACTTAAGCCTCGCTTCCCCCCCCCTCTCGCCCCATTTGGACGCCCGAAATGGGTACCGAAAAAATGGGTACTATGCCCAACAGCAAATGTTGTCCCAAACCAAAAGCGGCCGCTGTTGGGGGGGCGGCCTCCTGTCTCGAATGGACACAGGCCGCGGCGGCGCGGACAGCGAGTCCTGTTCAAAATGAACAGGAACTGCTGTTGGGCATTGTACCCATTCCTTCGGTGCCCATGTCGGGCGTCCTGGGGCATGTACCCAGGCCTCGCGGCCTGGGGCCCAGGCCGCGAGGCCTGGGCCGGCTCCTCGGGCCGTCCGCGGGCCAGGGCCGTCCGCGGAGGCCGCCCGGGCGAAGCCCCGACCGCGCCGCGCCGCCGGAGCCGAGGCCGGCAGCGGAGCCGACGGGCCGAAGGGCGGCCGGCAGAGGGAGGCATGCCCCTGGGAGGTCTGCGCCGGAGCGAGCAAGGGCCGCGAGGCCCGCTCAGGGGGCCCCTCGAGCCAAAGTACAGTCGAGGCGTTGACCTAAGGAACCCTACATAAGGAACGAGGCCACTAACTTTTCCATAAGTGGAGCTTCGACCTCGTATCCAAAACCTAAGGGAAATCCAAGGCAAGCTGCGAAACAATTAAGGAACACGGAGCCCCTCCCCGACGAACACGGTTCCTTCTTCAGGGCCCCGACTGTCGTTGGCTGGGTCCAGCCCGGGATGAAGCCGGCCTGAGCGGGAGTGGGCGGAACCACACGGGATTATGAGCCGGATTGGGCTTGCTCTTGGCCGCGGATCTGCCAGCGCCGATGCCGACTTGCACCTTTCGGGCTTTGCGTCCCAACCTAGAGGTGCGCAGCGACGCAGCAGCGACACAACAAGCGACCGAACCGAGCCGACCGAACACAACCGACTGCGGCGCAACCCAAGCGACCGAACCACATCTCCAACGCTTTGAACTTTCGGCCTCCTGGGGGACTTCACCGGGCCCCCTTGACCGCACCCAAAATTCAGCATGACCCCCCCCCGCGATGCACGGAACCCCGACGCACCGCCTGTGCGCGGCTCAGTGCGAACCACCCCAGGATGCCCCAGGGTGGTGCGGGCACTGATTGCTGGCACGGCGTGGGTTTTTCAACCTTGAACGGTCTCCGTTGCGGAGGCCACCAGAGCCTAGCCAACGCACCAGCGAGGAGGACCAGGAGGAGAGGAGAGCGAAGGGAGGAGACAGGATCGAGGCTGGATGATCGAGGAACGCAGCTGTTTGCGACATTTCGTGACCCTGTTGTGACTCCTGGGGCGCACCCGTCCCCACAGCTGGACTCGTTGGGTGCCAGGCGCCGCGCGACCGTGGGGCGCTGGCAAGCTCATCGGGGTGCACTCCGTCCCGATCAGCGGTCGAGCCTGCACGGCCTGAAGGTGCGGACGCGAGAACAGACAAAAAGACGCACTCTGGAGAACCGTACTGGATCAGGTCGCCTTGCCGCCGGGCTGCGCCGCGCCGCGCCGCGCCTCCCGCCTCGCCTCCGATGCCGGGTTCGACCAAGGCGGCACGCGCCGCGGCGCCACTGGAGGCCTCGCGTGGGGCCCTGATGGCGGTCCACGCGGCCGCGGGCTTGGCCGCCGCAGGAGGGATGCGTGACTCGGCACGCCTCCTGCGTGCGGCGGAGGGGCTCGTCCGCACGGCTGTGGCCGAGCTGGTCGGGCAGCCCACCCCTCCCGCCGAGGTCGGCGCGGGTCCCCAGGCGGTGCCGCCTCGGCGCCGTCGCCCGCGCGGCCGCGGAGGACGGATGGAGGTGGACTCGCGCTTCCAGCTGCAGGACGTCGTGGAGGAGAAGCCCCCTGGTGGCGGTGCGGCGGCGACGGCGGCGGTGGGTGTGGGGGCCCCCGCCGACGGCGGCGTGGTGGGTGCGGCGGCGGCGGCGGAGGCGGTGGTCCAGGAGGACATGAAGCTCCCCTCCGACGTCGATGACGACGAGTGGGCAGATGAGGTGCCCCCGAGGCGCACCCCGCACATCCTGCGGGAAGGCGACCGCGTTCGTCTTCGAGATGGGCGCCAAGGGTCGGTGTACGGCGATCCCAATGACGGCGTCGACCCGCACGGCGTCGTGTGCGTCCTGGTCGAGAGCGGCCGCCGTGCGACGCTGGCGGGCATGGAAGAGGCATCGGCAGCTCCGGGCGAACACTCTGGAGTGACTGACCTTCATCCTGGGCCTGCATGACTCCATTCCGAGATCCGCGGCCCATGAGCTCCCGACCTGTCTCCTCCCCAAAGAGGGAAAGTATTTCTCAATCCCAGATCAACTTATGATGGCCTCTTGACCTGAAAACTGATGCCCGAGGCCGGGATTGTGGAAGAGCGCCCGGGTTGACAAGGACAATCTCTCCGATGCCGGGGGATCCCGATTCCAGCGGCGTGTCCTGACCAGCTTCGGTCGTCGGAACCTTGGCAATCTGTTCTGCGGTGGCCTGTCGTTCCCATCGGTATCTCGATCTGTCTCAATGTCGTGGGCGCGACACCCCGGGTTGGGGCGAGAGCCTGGGCCAGCCAGTGCCATGCCGCGAAGACGCGGGCCAGCCACGCAGGGGGACCGCGGAGGAGAGGGCCGGGGGGGGAGCGTCGGCCCCACGCGGCTCTCAACACAGGGTCGGCCAGAGGATCTCGGAGGGGGTCGGCTATGATCGGCTGGCCCCCCGTTCGCGCTGCCCATCCCAACCCGGCCAGGGGCTTTTGCTCGGCGCGTCGCGGCGGCGGCCCCAGCGACGCGCTGTGCCCTGCGAGCGGACAGCATGTCGCTCCGCTCTGCGGGGCGGGAGGCTGGGAACAGCTCGGTACGTTGACTATCTGGGACCGCGACGTGGATAGCGTGTCGTGCCGAAGCACGGTGGGCCAAAACCGGTGGAGCGACATGCTGGTCCAAAATTCCTTACTGTACCCAGACCCGGGGCGTGCACGGTGACAACAAATCAGGAACCGATCGAACCGACAACGAAACCGGCACCGACCGAGATCGACAGGCCGCAAGCAGCCTGGAAAGGCACAGCGACGCGTCAACGACACAACGACCGACCGAGCCGAACCGACCGTACGCAATCGACTGCGACGCAGCCGAACCGACCGAACCGCGAACACCCTTGCAGACATCCAGCGATCCGCAGCGCGTGGAAGAGCGAGAGGCCAACGCGGAGGAGCGACGGAGGAAGAGCGGGGGGCCGACGAAGAGGATAAGCAGCCAGAAGCAGGAGGCCGACGTGTTCACGCCCCCGCGGGGCCGACGCGACGGAGCAACGGTGAGACCGAACCGACGATGTCGTCCGCTGGGGGGGGGCGTCCTGGGTGGGAGTTCGCAAGTCATGGCGCGAGGCATGTGCCAGGCTCAGGGGGAGGGGCCAGGGGACGCAATGAAAGAATAGAAGGGGCCATTCGAGCCAGGGAGGTATCATGGCCCCGGCCATGATATTCTCCCCCCCCTCCTTAAGACGCCTCCAAAACACGTCAACCCACCGCGATCCCAATTACTTAGGGGAAAGCTTCCGTATGGGCGCAGCGCTTGGCATTGCTTGTGGCATTGCTTGGGGAACTCAAGGAACCCGATGAATCCGAGGAGCCCAGGGAACCCGAAGAACCCGATGAACCCGATGAACTCGAGGAACCCGAGGAACCCGAGGAACCTGGGGAACCCGAGGAACCCGGGGAACCCTGGGAACCCGAGGAACCCGAGGAACCAGAGTGAAACCTGGGGAATCCGAGGAACCCGGGGAACCTGAGGAGCCTGGGGAGCCTCCGAGGAACGGGCAACGCATGAATCGGAGGCACCGAAGGCGAGGAAACCGGTGAACCCGAGGGACCCGGGAAACCTCCGAGGACTGGGCAAAGCGGCCCCCCGAGGCACGAACCTTCTAAGCAAATAAGAACCCCTTGGGCAAGCCTAGTTGGGGAAAAACGGGAAGCCGACGTGTCCACGCCCACGTGAGGCCGACGTGGAGGAACAACGGCGAGACTGAAAAGCAATGTCGTCCGCTGTCTTTCGGGCGCGTCCAAGAGGGGGGATTCCAAGAGGGGGGTCCGCAAGTCATCGCCCGAGGCTGTGCGCGACTGAGTGGGGGCCAAGTCGCGTCTTAAAATGAGAAGAGGGGCCAGAAGATCTGGGGAGATGATATCGCAGCCCCCGCCATGATATCTACTCCCCCACATCCCGAGTCACCCCCCCACTCTTGGGCGCCTCAAAAAAAACAAGGGGAGGCCGACGTGTCCACGCCCCCAGGAGACCCACGTGCAGGAGCAACGGCGAGACTGAAAATGCAATGTCGTCCGCTGTCTGCCGGGGGTGTCCAACAAGCGGGTTGCCGAGAGGGGGGGTCGAAAATGATGGCCTAATGCATGTGCGCGGCCCAGGGGAGGGCCGGGGACTTATTGAAATAAGAGAAAGCGCCACGAGATCTGGGGAAATATCATGGCCCCACCATGATATCCCCCCCCTCGTCATCAACCCCCTCTTGGACGCCCCAGAAACCACAAACGGGAGGCCGACGTGTCCACGCTGCCGGGAGAACAACGTGGAGGAACAACGGCGAGACTGAGAAACAAATGTCGTCCGCTGTCTGGGCATGGAATGGAAGTCCTGTCAGGGTGGCCCGCACGGGGCAGGAGCCCACGCGGAACCCCCAGGAGGCGAACCGTGACTCCACGGAGCATGCAAGAGGCTCAGGCGCTGGCCTTTGCCGCTCGTCTGCGCCAAGCGCGCCACCAACAAGACGCTGCCACTCCCCCCCCCCGTCTCTGCAGCAGGTCTGGAAGGAGCCTCCCGTAACGCATCCACCTGCGACTCGAGGGGCTGTCCTGTCCGCTACCTGGGGCCGGCGTTGGCCCCCGGCGTGCGCCCCAGCCGATGGCCACTGGGGCGCGCGCCGGCCGCGCGCAGATCGGCTGCCTCAACGAGACGCCATCGCTGGCGGCACCTGGTGGGGACGCGCGCGGTGCCGAAGCGAGGATCGATAGAGCAGCAAGGAGCAGCACAGACAAAAACTGTCCGAGGTCCGCGCGGACTTCATGGATCCCTGCTGGACCCCCTCCCTGGCGCGCGGAGCGCGCCAGGGTCGGCGCCGGAGGCGCAGCCAGGGGGGCCCCCAGCGCAGATCCACGCACTCCCCGCGGACCTCCAACAGTTTATGCTGATGCAGTTTTAATCGTCCGAAACGAGGCCGAACAAAACATCGGCGTGCCACACACATCGATCGCAGCGACCTGAAGGTTGAGGCTGGGTGCATAACAACAATGAAGGGGTGCGGCGGCTTCAGCAACAGGGTCGAAGAAACAGGAGATCGATAGGGAGCGAAGCGATACAGAGAGTAGGGCGGCTAGAGGGAGAAAGAAAGAGAGAGAGAGAGAGAGAGAGAACAAGAAAACAAGCAGAGAAAGAGAAATATAAATACATGACGAGACGGAGACGAAGACAGAGGTAGCAGTATAGACATGGTGAGAGACAGGGGCAGAGAGAGCCACATATGCTTTAGCTATCTACAGCTCCTATCAGTGAGACAAAGAGGGGTCAGGAATAAGGAAACACGTAGCGATTTGTGGCGAATGTCCACAATCATTCAACGAAACGCAGACAATGCACCAAGACACCATAGAACGGGAGAAGCTGCAACAAAGGAAAAATATACCATGACACCAAGGACGCGAAGAACACGAGAGGTCACACAGCAAGAGGGGTAGGGCAAAAGGAAGCGAACCTTTGCCGGCGCTGCTTTCTGCAGTGTTCAGCCAGAGCGAGGCTGTGCCATCCTGGGCGTTGAGGTAGAAGTAGCAGCCCTCAGGACTGTCCTGCAAGGCAGGGTAAGGAGCCCTCCCGAGTTCTGCAGCAAAACGAACGGAGGCGCTGCGCCGCACCCCCACGCGCACCCCCCGAGCTCCCCGCGGGCCCTCGCGCACCTGGAACTCCGGCCGCCTGGCTCTTCCCCGTGGCGCCACCACACACACGGATCGATGTTCTTAGCGCGCTGCGTCTGCTGGTGGCGATGCGCCAGCTCGGCCCCTGCCAGGGACTGGGCGGTGGCGGCAGCACCTGCTGCGGCCGGGATCTCTCCTGCCCCGCGCGCCGCCACGGCGGCCCCAGCGCGACGCGCGGTGCCCTGCGAGCGGACGGGGCGCCGCTCCCCTCCGCGGGGCGGGGGGCGGCGGAAAAAGCTCGGGACGTGGACGCCTGGGGGCCAGGAAATGGGGAGGCGCGTCGCGCCGAAGCGTGGATGGGGCCACGGAGCCGGCGGAGCGACGCGCTGAGGTGCCGCAGCGTCCGAGCGTGGCTCGTGCAGGGACTGGTCTGTGGCGGCAGCGCCTGCGACACGCAGCACCGTCGCCGGCCTGGCTCGCGCTGCCGTTGCTGCTGTTCCCCCCCCCCCCCCCCACCCGGACGGTGGGCGCTGGAAAGATGGCGTGCAGCACCGATCTCCGAAGAACGCGCCATCCCAGTGAGGCGACCCCCCCTGCGATGGGCCCTTCCTGTGCGTGCCACCGCAGCTGGCGCACAAATATATAAAAAAAAAACCCGGCCAAGAGAAATGCCAAAAGGGCCCCCCTGACACCCCGTGTCTCCAAGTTGGCCAGCGCCCGCGCTGGAGGGGGGTGCAAAGTGTTGCGAAATAAGCGCCCACTCTTGCGAGGAGCCAATCGCTTCCCGTCAACCTTGAAATGCGGGCGAGCGGGACGCATGTTGATGTCTGGTCACCTAGACCCGGCACGGGCGCTTATCGCGCAAACAACGGTACCCCCCCTTCCCCGCTAGGGCCTCTTCGGTTCACGCAGTCCCCAATTTGGCGATAGCGTGTGTCGTGTGCCTCGCACGCTCGCAGGAGGTCGCTCACACGTGCGAGCGCGCCTCCTGCCTCTGCCGGGACGTCCGCTGCAGTCGGGGGCCAGCCACTTCGAACTGCCCGTGCAAGTCTT